AAGCCAAGTCCTTCTCCACCTGATCTTTGCATCGCAGTGGGGGCCCCCCCTCTTCCTATGCTACCACCAGCGGGTTCCGAGTTGAATACTTTCAGAGCTGGAGCGTCGCTGTCCATTCGAACGACATGACCAAGCCAGCGGAGCCGCTGTATTTTAATTCGCCGCACTATGTCCATATCGTTGTAAAGCTCATACAGCTCATCGTTCCATCGTCTGCGGTACTCGCCGTCGCCAACGCGTAAAGGACCGTAAATCTTACGTCGAGAGAGGACTTTACTCCTGAATTGCCTACTCAGTACAAAGTAGCACTTGTTGGCAAGAGTGATTCTACGTTGGATTTCAATGCTGACATTATTATCGGTGTTAATGCTGGTTCCCAAGTAAACGAAATTCTCTACTTTCTCGAAATTGTAACTGTCAACAGTGACGTGGGTGCCAAGGCGCGAATGTGCTGACTGTTTGTTTGATGACAGGAGATACTTCGTCTTGTCCTCGTTTACCACCAGACCCATGCGCTTTGCTTCCCTATCCAACTTGGAAAAGGCAGAACAGACTTCGCGGTTTTTGTTACCGATGATGTCGATGTCATCGGCATAAGCCAGCAATTGCACGCCCTTGTAGTAAATTGCTCCTGAGCGATTCAGTTCTGCAGCTCTTATTATCTTCTCCAACATCAGACTAAAGAAGTCACATGAAAGGGAGTCGCCCTGTCTGAGACCCCGTTTTGTGGCGAACGGCTCGGAGAGGTCTTTTCCAATTCTGACGGAGCTGGTGGTATTGCTCAACGTCATTTTACACAGCCGTATGAGTTTTGAGGGGATGCCAAATTCAGACATAGCGGCGTATAGGCAACTCCTTTTAGTGCTGTTAAAAGCGGCTTTAAAGTCAACAAATAGGTGGTGAGTGTCGATCCTTTTCTCGCGGGTCTTTTCCAAGATTTGGCGTATTGTGAATACCTGGTCTATTGTGGATTTGCCAGGTCTAAAGCCACACTGATAAGGCCCAATCAGTTCATTGACGGTGGGCTTCAGTCTTTCGCACAATACGCTCGATAAGACCTTGTAACCTATGCTTAGAAGGCTGATCCATATTCTGCATAAGAGTTGATGCATGCACCTTATCAACTCCTCGCCACCGTACTTGAATAGCTCAACTGGCAGGCTGTCAGCTCCAGCGGCTTTGTTGTTTTTCAGCCGCGTTATTGCTATACGTACCTCGTCATAGTCAGGCGGTGGAACGTCGACTTCGTCATCATCGACTGCGGGCTCGGGTTCTTCTTCTCCACAACTTTCCGTGCTGCTACCATTTAGTAGGGCGGAAAAGTGTTCCCTCCATAATTTAAGTACGCTCTGGACATCAGTTACTAGGTCGCAATTATTGTTCTTACAGGAGTGCGCCCCGGTCTTTAAGCCTTCTGTAAGTCGCCTAACTCTCTGGTAAAATTTTCGGGCATTCCTCCGGTCGGCCAGCATTTCAAGCTCACTCACTCACGTATTTCTGCCTCTCTCTTCTTGTTGCGGCAAATACGTCTCGCTTCCCTCTTCAGATCCCTATAGCGGTCCTACATAGCGCGCGTTGCGCCCGATCGCAGCGTGGCCCTGTAGGCGGCATCTTTTTTCTCTGCAGCTTCCTGACACTCCTCATCGTACCAGTGGTTCTTTCGGGCTCGCTGAAATCCAACTACTTCTTCGGCGGCGGTACTTAATGAGCGGGAAATGTGGTTCCACTGCTCGCATATGTCGGTTTGTTGAAGAGTGCTCTCTGAGAGCAGGTGTGAGAGTCGAGTAGCGAAAGCGCTGGCTGTCTGTTGTGATTGCAGCTTTTCGACGTTAAGCTTCCCTTGCATATTTGGGCGCACATTTTTTGCTGCACAGAGGCGGGTGCGTATCTTGGCTGCAACAAGATAGTGGTCCGAGTCGATGTTTGGGCCTCGGAGTGTGCGTACGTCTAAAACACTGGAAGCGTGCCTTCCGTCTATCACAACATGATCGATTTGGTTTCTCGTTTTTCGATCCGGAGACAGCCAGGTAGCTTGATGGATCCTTGGATGCCTCATCTTTCTCTTCCGTCGGGGCATGGGCGCAGATGAGCGAGATGTTGAAGAATCTCGCTTTGATGCGGATTGTGGCTAGACGCTCGTCCACCGGGGTGAACGACAGTACTCGGCGACGGAGTCTCTCTCCCACCACAAATCCAACTCCGAATTTGCGCTCCTTTACATGGCAGCTGTAGTAGACGTCGCAAGGCCCCAGACATTCTTTGCCTTGCCCCGTCCAACGCATTTCTTGGATGGCGGTGATGTCAGCTTTTGTCCTTACGAGGACATCAACCAGCCGGGCAGAGGCACCTTCCCCATTAAGGGTCCGGACATTCCAGGTGCATGCCCTCAAATCGTAGTCCTTTAAACATTTGCCGTGGTCGTCATCATAAGGGGGGGTCTCATCCGAGGCTTTGCCTTGCTTCTTCACTGGAAGTGGTTTTTACGTGGCGGGTCCCAAGCCCAGCGCACAACCCATTGCTGGGACGGGGGTGGTTTCGCAACCAAATACACGTTTATATAGCGAGCCGCTTGCTCCAAGCAGACACCCGCTTGCAGCCGCACCTACTGGTGAACAGACGCTGCAGACTTCAGTGAGCCCTTAAACGCGCGAACGAGGACGCAAGAGTCGGGATTGAGTATAGCCATGCAACTATAACTGCATACCCGGCGCAATGACTATACCCCATTGCACTTTTCACTAGATTTAAATACGAGCATTTTTAAATGGTAATCAAATAAAAAAAATTTATTCTTACAACGCGTTTTTTTTCTCAGTGTACATATGTAAGCTCTAAGACCATTGTAGGACAAATTAAAGTTTTTGTAACGTCGCTAGCACACTTTTCCGGCTTATATATTTAACACCAATTTCATTGAATTTTGCGTAGAACACTGAAACCGTATTTCAAACGAACTGCAGAGAGATTCACGCTGTCAAACACTCGGGTTAAATACAACGACTGGTTTATAGATCCAATGTTTAATGCATGATGTCGATAATGATCTTTCACTGGGAGGTATTAATAACCAGACATTGAAAAAACGGCCCTTAGAGTATACACAGAACCCAAACAGCTGTGCGAATTTCGTCGGTCGGAGCGATGCCGTTGATTGATATTCGCCGCAACATTTCGCCCAATAAACAGGACAGACACGAAATTGGCATCAAATGAATGACAAATAAAAAGCATAAAAAAAAATCTAAAAGACAAAACACTAAATTTTGCCATTCTGATTCTTGCTGATAATTATCTGATAGAAAAACCTCCATTTCCTCTGAGAGCTGATTTTGTAAACGGCGTTACCTACTCTACGTTATATATATGCTTAGCGCTCTATGAGCGAACATGCCATACGGAGTTATACCGCGCGGTACCATACCGCTGCTGCTTCAGCAAACCTTTAAAATGAAAACAGCTCCCATAAATATTTTATTTTGGTGCTTTAAATAGAAAAGTTCTTTAAATGTAAAGTCTATCTTAAACTGAAGAATTTTCACATAACAAAGGGCCCGTTGTTCAATGTCTGGTTATCACCAGTATATCATTATCGACGATTTCGACGTCATGCATATAACATGTGATCGATAAACAGTTGTTGTATTAAACCGGAGTTTATACCTCCAATTTCTGTTAGTCAGTCATTGAACAACCGGCCCTAAGCCTTTTGACCACTTAGGTATGTTAATTATAGACAATTATTTTCCGTTTACCTTTACCATCCCATAGCACACGACTATGCATCATTATCCACATCGGCTTAACAGTTTTTTAGAAGAAACACATGGTACTAACTGAGGCCCCTATTATGAGTTGCATTCGATTTTCGATCTTCGCTGGCTATCGAAGATCGAAGATCCAAAATGAAATTCGTATTATGAGCTATGCAAGCGTGTCGAAATTTTCGTTGAGAATCGAATTTTCTGTCGAACAGAGTTTTGCTTTCGTTGGTGTAGCGAAATGTTAGAAAATTTAAAAATTGTATGATTTTGCATTTGTTTTCTTACTTTTTGGCGGCTAGACACTAATTTTAAACAATTTGTATTAATTTCAAGCAGTTCTAACGTCGTGAATAGTAAACACAAGCTCGAAAGTCTGGTTTTACATATGAAAGAAAACCCCTATACGCTGTTGGCACGATCTCTGAAAACAAAATCATGGAGCTGTTTATAGTTTTAATATATTTAAGATAGATTTGGATCACAAAATTTCTTAAATATATTGTATGTCAAAATCAGGGTACGAAAATAAGCTGTACAAAACAATTCCCATTTTCTCATCAATCATCATATCATTTGTGGTTTTGTACAGTTTTGTATATAGTCAGAAAGATTCACTGTCATTTTCCCCAACGAGAAACGTTTGCTTTTCGTTTGTGACAATTGTACCATAGGTTACGTTTTATATGTATGCAAACGTTTCAATTCCCAACGGGACTTGAAGCGCTCCATTCGTGCTATTGGAGCGCTCCATAATCAGCAGTAAGCGCTCCATTCCTAATTTCACACTTCATTGTATTTGAACATTGTGTGCCATTAGAAAGAAGCGCTCCCTTAATGCTCCTAAAATAGACCTTGGTGAGCGCTTTGAATAAGTACTCCGTTAGTGCTCTATTAAAGACTTTAAAAAGCGCTTTATTTTAGTTTTATATTAACCCAAATCAGAGTATTCATATTAACATAAATTAAATTTTAACATAACATTTAACTCAACTAAGTGAATATGTGAAGTGTATAAATATTATTTATCTTCTTGAGTGGATGCTGCTTCATGGGTTATCTTATTATTATAGCATCTCCTATACACCTTATTCTTCATCTTCCGAAAACCCTTCCGCATTGATGCTTCGAAATCTGAAAAATTGTAATCTTCACGTTTTAACCGCATCTGTGAAAAATACATTCATATGTACTATATTGTAAGTGGGACGAAATTAGTAGTGAAGGTTAACTTACCAAAAGCATATTTTGAGAAGATCTTATATTTTCGCAATGCAAATTTTTTCTGGTTGCCATCCCAGTTTAAAGTTAGTGCGAATTCTTCGGTCAACATTTCGTTTAATGACTTCGAAATATCCTTGGACCCGAGGGTTTGTCTTATATACACTATCAGCGAAAGATAAAAAATTGTAATAATGTAAGTAATTATATAAGAAACAATACGTCTAAATTATATTTAAAAAGACATACAATTTCATTTGTAGGCATAGATGCAATATTTTTCTCTACATCGTCCATTTCTTCCTTCAAGTTGAATAGAAAAAACTTTAAGTTTGAAGGCTTCGGAAAAACGTGGCTGGAAAGTCTTTGCAAATAGACCATATGCTTGGCAAGCACAGAAGATACGTTTTTTAATTCGTTCTGCAAATGATTGTTTTGTTCTTCCGGAATGTGAAATTGATATTAATAATTGAAAAGTAAAGAGTGTTAAGTGTTATATTTACCAAATTTTTCAAGTTTTGCGTTCAAGATGGTCAATGCATCATTGCCGTCAGATCCAAAACTCACATAGGAAGAAAACATTTTCGAACGTCTATTATAATGTAAATAAAATGATTATTTTATGCTTTTCTAAGGACTTAGAAATGAAAAGAAAAGTGAGATGATAACTATTTTTTTACATACGTACTTACCGTGACGCCCTTTGCTTTCGTTCGAAATTTATTCTGTCCTTTTGTCATACCACCCAATGTGTAAAATATTATAAATAACTAACTTAAGAAATACGTTGATGTAATACTGGAATCAGCAGATACCCTATTTCTAAAGTTATTGCCATGACTTTACATAGAATTTCTTTAACTGAAAATTTTTCTATGTTTCTGCATCTATTCGATACCACAGTAATGCCTAACGATTGCTTTGAATCCATGGGTTCCATGTAAAAACTATCCACATTAAAAAATTTATATCTGAGCACAAAATCCACTCCATTTTCTTTTTCAAAAGCTTCAATTTCAAATGGCAACATTGGCTTTATATAGCAAAAATTATTTGGTTTAAGCGAACTGAAGCTGAAGAAATTTATATCAAAATGTTTATTGCTCCTAACTTTTTTATTGTACTTCGACTTAATTGGCTTGTATTCCCAGGTACACCTTTCCTTTTCTCTATTGTAAATTTGCTCTAGAATTTTTGTTGGTTGCCGTACATCCTTTTTTTAAAATTTGTAAGTAATTTTCGAATTTGTTTGCCGAAAATTTTTCTACACTTCCAAATTTCGCAACACATTCAGGTAAATGCAAGAGGTTATGCACATTATATGACAGTTTGTCTTCCCCATATATTCGCGGATAATCTTCGACAAATGCCTGAACCATAAGCCTCACGCAAGGCAAGTTTAGTTGACAACTATATGGAGTCGATATGAGCCTATAAATTGAATGCAGCAATAAAAAATGCTTATAAATACATATCATCATCTACAATATCTTTAAAAACCACGATTCCAGTGTAGAGAATGATTTGTCTAAATTCAGTGGCCTTGAATCTGGCTAAGTAAATAAAGGAGCGTGGTTTGCGACAGAATTCTTTCGGAATAAACGCTTTCATATTTATAAGCCTTTTGTTTATATTATCTCTGTCTGCATTATTAATTTTTGTTTTTAAATGGCGACCAGTCCAAACAGCTGTAACAATTTTTTTTACAATACCTAAATCTATTAAGTGCATAACGTCTAATGGAAAGTCGGATATCATTTTTATATTTAACTCCTCTAAAATATTTGAATTTTGTATAACATTTTTGGATGATGATGACTTTTATCCTCCCTTAATCTAAAACTATCATCTGTCCGAAGAGGAAAGATAGCGCTGGAATAAGAAAGCCGCCGATTTATTAACCGTGCTGTTTGGGTGCATTTTGAACACCCTCTACTACTGGTGTGACCCACGGTTCCTGTCACAAACGCACGAGCAGGAGCATCACAAATAAACTTATCAATTTTTAAATTAAATATCTTATCTTTCATTTTTACACCATTTTCATAACAAATTTTTACATCATCTACAAATTTTTCCAAAAACAAATTTATGTCATCTGGCTTTTTTGGCCCTACATAAGCCCCAATCAAAAATGGCTTTGCTGTTGAAGCTTTAGAAACGCACCCCATTACTGGCCATAATTGCGTGGAGGAACTCTTAAATAATGGCAGACCATCAATTCTGATATCTATGCTTATGTTATTTTCCAAACCACTTATAATTTCTTCATCTGAACTTTCCAAACCTTTTAGTACACCATAGTGCAGATATTTACCCGAAGGTACTGAAACGATTTGCCTATTGCACTCGTTTACCCCTGCTAATTTAAGTATGCCCAAAATTGCCTCACATGCTTCACGCCTAATTTTGAAAAAGACAGCCCAGCCCCTAATTTGTTGCACTATGTCGTCGTCAGTCAGCATGTCGTTGTCCCTTTCACATTCTGCATCCCAGGATATACCATACTCACTGCGAGCCAAATTTTCTTCCTCAAATACCCTCCTATCATGTTCTGTCATGTGGTCGCTGTAATTTTTTTGCAGTTGCTTGGCAATAAGGCGTTTCATTTGGCGTCTCGATAAACCGCATTGTTGGTCCATTTTTTTACCTACTTAACACAACACAATTAATCCAGCAATTGGCACGTGGTTTACAAACGTATACCACTTTTCATTCAATTGTGGTCCGCTTGCAAAATCATTCATTCATTCATTCATTTTTATTCATTATTATCTTATGAAATTTAAAGAAATTAACATTAGTTTGTACATTAGTGAACATACAGTAAAATAGATACAATAAGATAATAGCTAATGGCGTTGAGTGTTCAAAATGAGAACAGTGATAACACCATTTACTGTTATAATTACAATCGAAGTATAGAGATGTAGAAATGTGGGGTGCAAAAAGAATATCATTTACCGGAGTTATAAAGGTTTAACATTGATGATAAATAAATTATTAATATAAAAGTTTTTTTTTTTAAATTAATAGAAATAAAGTACATCGGTTCATTACATAGCAAGCAACTTACAAGTGAACTTGTTAAATCAAAATAAAAAGTAGTAGGAAAATATGTTGCAATGTTATTATGTTATTAAGTCGGAAGCTGATTATGTGATAGGCCGTAACAGAACTTGAATATCGTCATGGCTTAAACCAAGAAACCATAATTTCACCTGCTTCAGAAAAACGCTTATTCTACGAATTGTTTGTATATCATCGGGAAGTTTATTGAAAATCATACACGATACTATGGTATAGAAGTTTCGATACAGAGTTGTGCGTGAGGCAGGAACAGTGACGTTTGTATTAGAATTGCTTCTTAATATGAGTGAAGTGTATATAGGACTTCGTAAGTAACCACTTCTCATAAAAAAAATTTTTAAAACTTTAAAGTAGTACAAGTGTCTTACAGGGAGAATATTTAGTCTCCTAAAGAGATTCATCGAGTGCGTTAAACGGCTAGCATTACAAATCCTACGTATAAGACACTTCTGCAAAGCTAAGAGTGGTTGAATTCTACTAGAATATGCACTGCCCCAGCAACTTATGCCATATTGAAGTTTAGACTGTATTAGTCCATAGTACATCATTTTTAGCACACTGCTTGCACATAGTTTCTGAAAAAATGAGCGAACGGTTGCTAGCATGTAAGCTTTCATGGCAGAGATATGCGAAGACCAGCTTAGGTTGTGATCGACTATAACACCCAGATATCTAAAATTATAAACAACTTCGACGTTGAAACATGTTGCGTCACAGTTTGAATCCGGAAAATAAATAACACGAGACTCGTTTTCAGTACAGGTATTAGTACATAGTTTATGTCGCAAGCAGCTTGCAGAGTGAAAAATAATATCACCACTAGTTACTTCCTTGCCACTAAGACTAAAATACATTAGTTTAGTTTTATTGCTTACAATAAGTTTATGAGAAGCAAACCATTCTCTTAGGAGGCTCACATCGTGATTTATGTCCACAAAAAGATTGAAAGCATTGTTTGATCTATAAGCGATTGCCAAGTCATCTGCAAATGCTGCGACTTTTCCTACAAAAGGCATTGAAAAAAACGAGTTAATATAAATCAGAAATAAAATTGGTCCAAGGACTGACCCCTGCGGGACTCCCAAATCAATTTGTCTAGGTGCGCTTTGATTATTGTTTACTTTCACCTTTTGACTTCTTAAATTTAGATATGACTCAAACTAATCTAGAACTTTTCCACGGAAACCTGCTGAGTGCAATTTACATAAAAGAATATTATGGTCGACCATGTCAAAAGCTTTTGTTATATCAACAAAAAGACTAGCACAAGTCCCTTTTTCATCCATTGCTTTATAAATAAACGAGCAAAAGTTAAGAAGAGCATCTTCAGTAGATACTCCTGCCCGGAATCCATATTGCAATGGACTGAAAAACTTTATTTCATCCAAATATTGCAAGACTCTGCATTTAACTGTCTTCTCAAAAACCTAAGAGATTGATGGCAAGAGAGAAATAGGTCTGTAGTTACTTTTATCTTTCTTATTCCCTTTCTTATGTAGTGGTATGACAATAGCACATTTTAAATCGGCTGGAAACACTCCTGTGACTATACTAAAATTGAATAAATGCTTTAAAATATCAACAACATATAAAGCAATGTTCTTTAAAGTACGGTTTGAGATACCATCATTTCCAGAAGAATCAGAATTTTTTAAAGAATTTATTAAACTTAAAATCTCTGACCCAGAAATTGATTCAAAGAAGAAACTACAGCCGGGAGAAGTATTTACAGAGTAAATTAAGTGGTTGTTGCAAGTACAGCGCATATTATTATTCTTTGGAGCGGACTCTTTTCCAATTGTAACGAAAAAATCATTGAGATGATTGGCAACGTCTAAAGGGTGAGAAACAAGTTCGCCGTCGATATCTAAAACAAACGGATTAGTTTCGGCTTTCTTATTACGATTTAGAATGTCGTTGACCACATTCCATTCTTTCTTCACGTCACCCTTCGCAGCTAAAAATCTATTCTTATAAAAATGATCATGCCTGAAACGACATTCTTTATTAATATTGTATGTGAGGAGTTTCACACGCTTCCGTAGGCGAGTGTTTGTTGGGTGCTTGCGACATTTCACGCGTAATTTATTTTTAAGTTTAATTTTCTTAAGTAGATCACAATTGACCCAGGGCTTGAGAATAGTTTTCGAGTTTTTGGGAAAAGTAACAAAGCTAGATTCTGTTATGTGTGCTTGAAGCGTAGACAAAAATAAATTGTAGGCTTTACTCACGTCCTTTTCAGCATAAACACTTTCCCATTTTTTCTAAACGAAGTGAATTATAAAGAGCGCTAAAATTTATTTTCTGTATGACTGGTGGACTGTTATTATTGAAATGGCGAACATTATTTAAACAACTAATTTTCAGTCCAATCATACAATGGTCAGAAATTCCAAGATCAAAGTTCAAACCCGCAGATGGGCTAAGTGTACTACTATCGAAGCGTCCATAAATATGGTCTATATTTGTTCCAGAAACTGGCCGGGTAATACTTTT